AGATTAACATTGCATAATGCTGAATAAATTATTTTATAGACAAATAAATACGTTTAAATACCAAACAGAAGATTTTAATAGTCCAAACTCCAGCCGCGCTGTGGACCTGTGAGCATGTGCCATAACGTGCCGTAACCAGGTAAGCAGCTCTCTAGTCAGCATGAAATTAGACATCAATTTTACTTTCAAATAAAGCTTATTCCAACCAAGGGTAGTTTTCAAGTTCCCCTCAAGAAAAGTTTTGGAAAAGAGACTCTAATTGACAATGATTATTTCCATAAAGTTGTTTCATGAATGTTGGGCATAGTAGGGCCAATTTAATTAAGAGTTTAATTACTTTAAAATCTGAACCTGATTATTTTTTATTCCCTCCATATTAAAATCTTCCTCATTTAAAAAAAAAAGCCCCAAATTGTGAGACTTTAGTTATTAATTTAATCATCATATAAAATAAAGTTTGAAGTTTAGTTACCTATTAAACACAATACCTATGTTTTTTACGACTTACACTGTTACAATATAAAGCAGTTCCTATTCCAAAAAGGAAATAAATAAAGCTGATTATGTCGACTCCACCATGATTTCTTATATGTAGCTTTGCTATCGCAGGTAAAAAATGATCCTACACAAATCTTCCTGACATTTCATTATCAACCGCCACGTAGCCCATACATTTAAGCACCTACTCACAAGTGGCAGCTCCTGGTAGGTGAGACCAACAAGACCCTGGGCAACCCGGCAGGGAGTACCAGCAGCCCATTTTACAGACACGGACACTGAGACACATGCCTGTAGCCCTGCATTAGTAAGGAGAAGAGTCAGGATTTAAGTCAGACAGTCTAAATGCCAAAGCTCACAGTCTATCCACTATACTATTATGCAAAGAAAGAGAACATTTAGCGTTAGGAGAGAAATCTCTCATTTTTTGATAGATGGACAGGAAAATGGAAGTGCTATACAACGGTCCAATTCAACACCCCTACCATCTCGAAGTACGCGGGTACCGGTGGTATCTTTTAGAAACACGGCTGCTATTTAACAGTAACAGTTACTGTTACTGAAATTATAATTTAGTTCCCTCTAATATGCAACTGTACTAAAACCAGCGACAAAATTAAGATCATATCATGAACTAAATGATTTTTAATTCAAAATCTTTATAAACTCAAATAATTTTACATGAAACAAATGTTTTCTTTTCCTCAAAGTAATACTTTTATACATCTTTCTCTAAGCTCTCACATGGCAAGCTTCAATGAATCACTACAATCACGCCTTTTACAGTAGATTGACAAATTCTGAAAAGAACCCTGAGCAGATCAACACTGCCAGAATCAAATGTTTTAAAAATAATCATCTTTATCCATGTTGTTTCTATGGAAAACAAGGAAGGCTCCCAAGAGGGGGAGGGCAGAGGAATTCTATTAATAAATTGACGAATGATTTTTTTTTTCTTGAAGGTGTTGGGAAAATCAAATTAACACATAGCAATAGTTAGTGAGATATGACTCCATTTTCTGTAATAAAACACCAAGATCAAAACGCACCCAAGGTAAATTTCCTTGCAAGTCTCCCAGCAGGAGTTTTCCTTCTTGTATGTGATTTCCTCTCACCCACAAAAACCAGGCCAAATACGCGCATGTGCCGCTAACACTAAGCAGCACTTCCTTATTCACTCATGTCCAACAATTTATGGATGATCAGTGGCAAAAACGAGCAAAAATAATGAAAGAATGCAATGAAAGCTCCCTGAGACCAAGCTGGACTTCCTACTCATTTCTGTGTCTCTTTCAGATGCAGGCCTGATACAAATTAGCCACTGGGGGGAAAAAGTCGTCTGGTCATAAAATACAGTACAAGGTCACTTTTATGTAAGTTTGCCAAAAGGGACATAAACCAGGACAATTTCACACTGTGACACAGGATAGAAACATATTAAAACAATCTCTGTTCCTCCTCCATTGTGCTGTCACAGTGCTCAGCTTTATAGGCCTTCCCAGCACCAGCACCGGGCTCTTCGCTTCCACCTGGTCAGTCTAATTAATTAAGAAAGGAAGTTACCTCAAATTCTGTACTTTTTGCTTTTATTATCAAGCACTTCGTTTGAAGTTATAGGAGTTAACCTCTTAATCCTACAGACCGTGTGCTATGTTCTGGACATTTGGGGATGTCTGGATAGCTTGGATAATTGGTCAGGATGTTGCTGTCGCTTATGTTAAATTTTATGCCAAGACTTCAAATCAAAGATAGGCATTAAGATGAAGCACAATATAAAATTACTCCCAGAAACATCTTTGCTTTATGAATTAATCTGCCATTGATTATATTTTTTCGCTTTCATTAAATTGTTGAATTTCTGCCTCATAACATCTGAACTCAAAGTAAGATGTTAAAATATAATATGAAATAAATATATTCCTAACTCCTACTTCACCTCTGGCCAGAGGTTAGATTTTCAGAGTTTACGAAGCAATCAGCAAACATCTTCTGACATCATCCCACATAATCTAGGTCTCTCTGAGGCAGAATGGGAAGAGAAAACCACACAGCTGATTCGAGGTGTGACAGGAACAGCAATGCTGTCGGCCCCGATACCCTGGTACCCCGATACCCTGGTACTCTGAGTGACCGAGAAAAAAAAAAGAGGAGAAAGCATCTCCACCACAAAACACAACACCCAGCAGATATAACCTTTTTATCAGAACTGAAACAAACATTAAGATGCAAGCATGGGATCGGGTTTAAACACACATGAACATATACAATGCTGGACGCAATACATAGAGGTGACTACAAAATAATATAAATTTGCTAAATATTTAAGTGCTAACAATAAGAGTTCTAAGTTCAGTTCTTACTTAAAAAATGTCTTGCTTTATCAAAACCATTTCTATTCCCCTACCCTTAAGAATATAAAGAATGGGAATAGTGAGGAGATGGTCCTAATAAAATAGAAACATGCACCATGGTAAGGAGAGAGAAGAAAGGCTTGTTTAAGGCCCTTAAAAGGACGTGGCCACCCCCCCCCAGGCCTAAAATGTCCTGTTTGAATTAACATAGTGGTTTAATTAAAAACTAAGTAGAGAATTCTGCTTAATTTGATTTTCAATTCAAGCTCTGCATCCGCCCATGGCTAGTGGCCAATTTCCGCGTCTCGGCACAATATGCAAGGGGCCGTTTTAAAATCGATCGCCCAGGGGAATCAATGGGAGTACGGTGGAGCCACAGGCCATTCAGGGACTCCACCAGACTTAGACACAGTAAAACAGCACCAGGAGGGTGGTCAAAGGAAGGAAAAGAAATTTGACTTGACCATACTTCAAGTTTGTCGTTAGGCAAATCGTCGCGCTGAACCTACCGGTGAGAAGCGTTTCCTAAGCCCGCTTCAACAGCCCTTCGGAACTAGCTACGTCCAAAGCCAATGAGCAAAGAGCTTTAAAGGACATACACTGATTTGTGGAGCATAACAAATAGCATGGAGGACAAGGGGAGATGGAGAGGAGAAGGGAGCTGAGGGAAATTGGGAGGGGAGGTGAACCATGAGAGACTGTGGACTCCGAAAGACAACCTGAGGGTTTTGAAGGGGCGGGGGGGTGGGAGGTTGGGGGAACCAGGTGGTGGGTATTGGGGAGGGCATGGATTGCATGGAGCACTGGGTGTGGTGCAAAAACAATGAATACTGTTACGCTGAAAATAAATTTTAAAAATAATAATAATTAAAAAAAAAAAAAGGATATACACAAAGGAATACACTCTTGCTAGCCAGCTATGTAAAACACGTCAATGACTGTGATGCATTCACTTCAATGAGGCAACAATTAAAGTCTGGGGTCCAGTCTACAATATTGTGTAAAGAACTATAGATCTTAACAAACATGTAAAATCTGCACAAGTCAACTCCTAGGATCATATATTAGGAAAACAATGAAAGGCTTAAATATATACTTTACACATTAAGACTTAACCATGTAAAATCTTTAAAAAAAAAAAAAAAGACTTAGCCATGTAACGTTAATAACTCTTGCAGCTTTCAAATAATTGATTTTAAAACTGAAAAACGTGAATTTTTACAATTATATGTCATGATTACTTTAATCTTAAAGCTTTCCAAACAATTCTAACAGGGTCTAGAATGCACCTTATCTTCAAGCAGGTGTGATTTTGCTTTAGTCCATGCCATTTCAAAATGGGAAAAACAATTTGTAACCTTAAAATAGCCCAAAATAATATGTGAATAATTAAGAACTGACTGTACTGTATTCAGTTGCTTTCTGGTGATCCCATAGAACATTTACTGGCGAAATGCAGTAAGCTCTAGAATGATGGCACTAATAGCTAACATATCCTGGGCTACGTCTTTTACATGAATATTGTCCTCTCATTTAATCCTTTAAATAATACAGTAAGGTAACAATCATTACTATACCCATTTTACAGAAAGAGAACATGAGGTCCAGATGAAAAAACTAGCCCAGGCCATGAGACTCAAAGGGCAAATTTTCTCACCTTAGCACCCTTACCCTCCCATCTCTCTGCCACAGGCCCCTTCTCCTCTGTGCACAAAGAGCAGAATCATTCTGCCTCTTCTGCCTCCAGGCTACAGCCCCATTTTCCCTTCCCTCCTCTGAAAGCTTTAAAGACCAAGTTCTTTCATTTGGTTCCTACAACTCCCAATCACTGTCCAGTGACAAGTGACAAGTCAGACGAGTGGTAACCAACTATCCCCAGCTGTCTCCTTGCCCTCCTTTCAATCCTTGGCTGAGCTGGGGAACCACCTGGACTGGCCAAGCTGACTATGCCTCGAACACATCCGTCCCCTCTGCGATCATGAAATGGAGCTGGTGATCTTGAGGGATTCAGAGGAGACCAACATAGTCAAAGATGTGCTTAGTAAAGAATATTGTTTAAAGTTTGTATGGACAGACTAGATGTAAAAAAAAAAAAAAAACCTGAGAGGAAAGAATGTTGTACAATTGTAGGTGTGAAATATCTTCAATTACCTTCTTGTGTCCCTCCTCAAGCTGCTTCTCCCCTTGGACCTTAGTCTCCAAGGGGGAACAAGAGAACAGTGACATATCACTGGGGTTTCTGTCAGGTTTTTTTTTTATTCTAGAGATGGTAATTCCGTTCCAGTAAATGTAGTCAAGACCCTCTTCTAGTTGGTTAGGTCACAACAAGGGAGGAAACCAATTTGGAGACAAAGAGTCTGTGCACATTACAAACTGTTTTTTTAAAAAATAACCTATTTAACTAAAAACTAGAATTTTATAAAGAGTATAAATTAGGTAGAGGCACGTATACTACTTTCAAATATGAAAATACAGCTAACACTGAGCTTTACCAATTGTTTTTGTACTTGGTAAGATTACACACAAGGTGGAGATAGGACGAAAGAACAATGTGCATATTTAAAGCAAACATCAACATAGCAACGTTGGTGACATATGTTGCAACACTCTGTTTAACGGGAGTAGGTGTGTGATTGATTCAGTACGGTGCTATCTCTACAAAACAGCGTTTCACATTGTCTGGTGCGTGTACTCCTTCCCTTAGTGACATACGTTTAAACTCCGACATGTGTATTTATCTCTATACTTAAATAAAACAGTAGTTGCAAAAATCTTTTTCAAAAATCTTTTGCCAACTCCCTGTTATCTATACCACAAAATCCAAAGTATTCAAGGCGTCCCAGATGTGACCCCAACAAGATTCCATGAACCCTGATCTCTGACCAATTCTCTGTTCTATAACTAAGTGCCAGCCATTCCCTCAATCCAGGCAGAATCCATGCCTTTGCTCAAGCCTGGAACGCCACGCTCCAGCAAAAGCCTATTCATTCCTTCAAGTCTTAGCTCAAGTGCAGGCGGACCCCTCCTGTGAAGCCTCCCCAATTTCCTATGCAAATCAAGACTTTACTCCTTCCAGTGCCTCCCATCACAGCGGGCTGCAAAGAAGTTCATCACACCACATCCCATTTGATTGCAACTCTTTCTCCTTCTATCTCTGCAAGGCAGGAGCCCTGGCTTTTCATTTCTGTCCCAGCAAGGTCCAATAGTACCATAATTACTTCCTAGTAGGTGCTTCGTAAAACTCTGTTGAATGAATGAATATCCATCAAAAGCTTTGGCTCTAAAATTATACAGAAATCACTTTCTCAAGTGTCTCCTATGCTGTCACTTCTTGGTGTTCATTCTTTCCAGCCCTCTTTAACACAATATTTTACATCCCATTCTTCCAGAAACCCTGTCTTCTGGCTTCCACAAAACCACACTCCTTTGCTTCCCTGCTTTCTCACAGGACCTGCTCAGCAGCCTCCTTTGCTTCCTTCCTCTGCCGGCCAGTCACAGAGTAGTCCTCTTTTCTGTTCCAGCCCCATTTGTCCTTGGCCACCTCATCCACTTGGGCAGCCTCAATAAACTCCACAGTGTTGACATGTGAAGATCAACCACTCTGGGATGGTTAAAACCACAAGGTTTTGGTACCAGTTCTGGAATCGTACATATGTGGCCCTTAGACAACTTACTAACATCTAATATATTTGGACCTCAGTTTTCTCCTTATAAAAGGAAGGTCTGCACTACATCCCATTCAGCAAAACTCCTATAATTTCTTCAAGAAGTCTTAAACAAGGAGCTTTTTAAACTGAAACTACACAATTCTTTCACATTATACAGATGACTTAAATAATTCAGATATACCATGATAAAAAAACAATTCCAGTATATCAAAGCCAGTTTTCTCAACGTCAGGTCTGACTACCAAATACAACCAACCATTCTGATCTCAGGACATTTATTATATATGACATCAACTCTGAATTTTCAGGCTCAAACTATTCAAGCATGGAGTAATATCTAGAAAGCAAGAAGGTACATCCGCTAAAACAATACCCTATCACCAATCAGTGACTCTTTCCTGGCATCCTTCAACAAAAGGATCTAAAAAGTACTGTACTTAAGGTTTAAAATCAGAAGACTTGTCAAAATGTGAGACTAAACTTAAACAATTTCATTGCTACAAAAAGTTATATGAAATAAAAAGTCATAAAAATTCAGTTTACAGCTTCCCTTGCCAAATGTATTGAGCTGGCATTAGAGTACTGTTCAACAGTAAGACGCACAGGCACACCTGCACTTCACATGGCACAATACAAATAGAACTAGCAACTAAAAAGGTGTAATGTGTCATAAGTAAACTGTAACTCAGAACTCATTTTTGCCAACAAGTATTAACTACTTAAATCTTTGTATTATATTCCATATGGTTATATGGTTAACCATTTGCTATATGGTTATAGCAAAGACCCCCACAAGCCATAAACAGGAACATCATTTGTTTCACTTTAAAATGTCATTTTCAAAGACAGATGAAGTTATTACCACTGATACAGTCTGGACTGATTGTTTAAGATGCTCTTGCAAAGTCTCCTGTTATGCTCACTTTTAACCTCTCACATTCACTAAGATCAGTAACTCACAGTACCTTGAGAATCTGACTAGCTACAGGGCATGTTTGATTTTATAATATGCTACTCTCCCGAAAATACAAGATATAAAATAACTTCTACATCAAAATATGGTTTAATATTTTGAGAATTTCATGTCATACTTTACACTAAATGCAAGAGAGCCTACAAAAGGAAGAACGGCTATCTTATCAGCTTTATTCTCTACAAATACTCCAAGTTTAATAAAAACCTTCAAAGGTCAAAAGATGACTTCCTCCCTACGGAACAAAATCATTCAATATGCAATATTATTAATATTATTGTCAACATGATTAATATTAATAAGATGTCATTATTACTAATTAAACTTTTTATATTTCAAATGGTTGTTCAAGCCTGTTTTTACTAGTTCAACATGAATGACATATACTTCTTTTGACAAATTTAATTACAAAATATGATTCACTTACCTTTTTCAGGCCAGCAAAACCTTCTGATTCCAGAAAGAAAAAGGCAAAGGGCATCAACACAAATAAACAAAGGTTGGAAAAGAGAGAAGCAAGATTCCACAAGCCTATAAGGAGGTAGCAAAAAAAAGAATAAGAAGATTAGAGACAGGCCTTCTCAAAAAAAAATTACTATGCTAAATTATGATGTTAGTCAAAGAGCTATACTTTTTAATAATAAAAATAAACATAAACTTGAAGACAGTGGCCTAACAAATCACCTAAACTTACAAATGAGAAAATAATTACACATCCAAATTTCTGTAACTTTGTAGCTTGTACCTATTAGGAAAAACCGATGTAGAAACTAGAAATATTTTTCTCCATGCCTTAAAACAAATTCACTAAAGATATGCCAAATGCAGAGATCCAAGACAGAGTCTCTTTAGATACACCGGCATCTGAGTATTTAAAGTAGCGCCACTAGCATTTATTGAGCACTTAATAAATGCCAGATAGTCTACTAGACATTTTACATGCACCATATTATTTAATTTAAGCCCAAGCAAAACAGGTCAATCAGAGATAGACAATTATATGATCTCCCTGATATGAGGAATTTGAGAGGCAGGGCAGGGGCATCATGGGTGGGAGAGAAGGAGAAAATGAAACAAGATGGGATAGGGGAGGGAGACAAACCATAAGAGACTCAATCTCAGAAAACAAACTGAGGGTTGTTGAGGGGTGGGATAGGATGGCTGGGTTATAGACATTGGGGAGCGTATGTGCTATGGTGAGTGCTGTGGATTATGTAAGGCTGATGATCCACAGACCTGTACCCCTGGTGCAAATAATACATTATATGTTAATAAAAACAAACAAATAAATATTTAATTTAAGCCTAATAAAAACACTAAAAGTAATAATTAGCACTTCTTGAGTCCTTCTGTGCCAAGCACTATTCCGAATGATTTACCAGTCTTATACGAACTTGTGTATTCCTCACAGGAATCCCCCAACAAGACAGAGGCATAGGTTGGTTATATAACTTAGCCAAGGTTGCAGAGTCTGCCAGTGGCAGAGCTAACTCCTGGGATGTTTAAAAATCACTATATCATAGAAGGTTAAGTAAGCAATTCTAAGTGGGAAGGAAAATGTTAAGAAAGGCAGACAAGTTCATATCACCTTTTGGCACATTCTGTACTCTTACAAAACCACAATAAAGAGCTACTAAAATGATAATAAATAGATTTAGGAAAAGGAGACTAAGTCTATCTTTGGGATTATGTTTGGCCAAACATCTTACACCTTTTATAGGTAAAACATTCAAATTTAAAAATGATTTTCAAAAAAAATAAAAATAAAAAAAATAAAAATGATTTTCAAAATAATACCTGTAATACTTACAAAATCAAGAGTTAAAGACAAAATTATGCTAAGTATAAATTCAATCTATCACATGCACTTATCACTCAGTGCTTTGGAAAATGGGAAAGAAGTGTTCTTTCAAAGCCCTTATTTAGAAGGCAGTGTTCCAAGCACAAGAGACACAGGAACAAACAAAACCTTTGTTTTAACCAAAATATGGTACGAGGAGTCTTTTCAGTTTCAGCCATTCTAACAGGTATATAGTGGTATCTCTTTACTGTTTAAATTTGCATTTCCCTAAATCAATAAAAAATAACATGAACATCTTCATGAACTTATCTGCCACCCATCTGTATCTTCTTTGGTGAAGAGTCTCTTCAAGTCTGTTGCCCATTGTTTCATTAGACGTTTGTTTACTTACTGTTGAGTTTGGCAAGTTCTTTACATATGCTGAATACAAGTCCTTTATCAGGTATATAATTTGCAAGTATTTTCTCCCCATCTGTAGATTGTCTTTTCATCTACCTTTTTAACAAGTATCTTCCAAAGAACAAAATTTCTTGATTTTGACAAAGTCCAATTTACCAATTTTTTCTTTTACAGATCATCATTCCCAAGAAATTACGGTCTATTCCAGTAACACTAACACTTTCTCCTATGTTTCCTTCAACAAGGGCTACAGTTTTAAGATCTACATTTATATCTATGATCCCTTGAGTCACTTTTTGTATGTGGTGCCAGGTATGGACTGAAGTTCATTTTTTTCCCTATGACTATCCAATTGCTCCAACACCATTTGTAGAAAAGAATACTCTTTTTCCACCAAATTGCCTTTGCACCTTCACTGAAAATAAACTGACAGTATATGTGTAGATATATTCCTGGATCTTCTATTCCATTGAGTCGATCTATTTAGCTTTATGCTGATTACACACCATCTTGATTACATGGCCTTAAAATAGTTTTTGAGTTGGGTAGTAAGTCTTCCAATTTTGTTCACTTTCAAAGTTGTTTTGGCTATGCTAAGTCCTTTGAATTCCCATCTCGATTTCAGATCAGCTTTTCAATTTCTACCAAAAAAAGGGGGGAAAAAACCCTTCTGGGATTTTCAATGAGATTGCATTGAATTGGTAGACCAATTTGGAGAAAACTGACATCTTAACATTGTCTTCTTATCCATGAACATGGTACATCTCTCCATTTATTGTGGCATTCTTTATTTTTTGTCAGCAGTGTTTTATACTGTATAGTACATAGGTCTCTCACATCCCTAAGTATAACATGATTCTAATGCTACTGTATACAAGTGGCATTGTTTTTTTTTTTTAATCAATGTCCACTTATTCATTGCAAGTATACAGAAATACAGTTGAGTTTTGTATATTTATTGTATATCCTGCAACCTTGCAAATTCATTAATTGGTTCTAAGAGCTTCTTAATAATAAGACTCTACCACAATTTCTATATAGACAACCATATCATCTGTTAGTAGAGACAGTTTCACTTTTTCCTTTCCAACCTCAATGTTCTTTATTTTCTAAAAATCACCATAACAATGTTGGATAGAAGTGGTGAGAGGGGACATCTTTGCCTTGTTTCTATTCCCAGGGAAAAGCATTCAGTCTTTCATTAAGCATAATGTTACCTGTAGGGTTTTTACAGATGCTCTTTATTAGGTTGAAGAAATTCCCTTTCATGCCTAATTTGCTGAGAGATTTTATCAAGAATGGATGTTGAATTTTTCTTCTGATATTTCTGCATGTATTGTGGTGACTTTTCTTTTTTAGGGTTTGAATATAGTAATTACATTCATTGATTTTTCAAAAATTATAATGTATTCTTTTTATATATTGCTACATTTGATTTATTAAATTTTGCTTAGAATTTATGCATAACTCTCTTTTCCTATAATGTCTGTCTGGTTCTGGGAACAAGGTAATGCTAGGCACCATGAATTAGGAAGTATTCCTTCATTTCCAATTTTCTAAAAGATACTGCTTCTTCCTTAAATATTTAATAGAACTGAGAGTGAATTCTTCTTGGCCTACAGTTTTATTTGTAAGAACATTTGTAACATTTCTACATCTGTGAGACTTCAGTAGTTTTTGCCTTCCAAATTTTCCCATTTCTCTAAGGTGTTGTATTGACATAAAGGTGTTCACAATGTGCACTAATTATCCTTTCAATACCTGTAGAATCCATAATGATGTCACCTCTTTCATTCCTCTTATTAGTAACTGGTGTCTTTTCTTTTTTTCTTTTTTTTTTTTTTTTTGCTAATCAACCTGACTGCAGCTTAATTTTATTGATCTTCTCACTTTCTCTGTATTTCCTGTTCTATTTCACTGATTTTTCCTCTTATCTTTTTTTTATTTCCAATTTCCTTAATTTGGTATTCATTTGCTCTCCTCTTCCTGTTTTCTTAAGGTAGGAATTATGGGCACTGATTTATGACCTTTTTTCTTTTCTAAAATGGACATTTTAGTGCTATAAATTTTCAAATGTTTTATTTTTGTTTTCATTTAGTTCAAAGTACTTTCAAATTCCCCTTCTAATTTCTTCTTTGACTTATTAGTTATTTAGTTACCAAATAATTGAGGGATTTTTAAGTATGTTTCTGCCACTGGTTTCCCATTTAATTTCATTAAAGAACATATCTTATATGTCTTAAATTCTTCTGAAAGAATTGAGATTTACACAAAACAAACTGAGGGTTGCTGGGGTGAAGGGGGTTGGGAGAGGGTGGTGGGGTTATGGACATTGGGGAAGGTATGTGCTATGGTGAGTGCTATGAAATGTGTAAACCTGGCGATTCACAGACCTGTACCCCTGGGGCTAATAATACACTATATGTTTGTTAAAAAATTTAAAAATTAAGAAAAAAAAGAATTGAGATTTATTTTATGGCACAGAATATGGTCTCTCTTGGCAAATGTGCCTAGTATACTAAAAGAATGTATATTCTACTGGTGTTGGGCAGAGTGGTCTATAAATGCAAAGTAGGCCAAATTAGGGTCACCTGGGTGGCTCAGTTGCTAAGTGAATGCCTTAGGCTCATGTCATAGTTCCAGGGTCCTGGGATTAAGCCCCACATCAGGCTCCCTGCTCAGGAGGAACCCTGCTTCTCCCTCTCCCTCTGCTTGCTGCTCCCCTGCTTGTATTCCTTCTCTCGCTGTGGCTCTCTCTGTCAAATAAATAAATAAAATCTGAAAACATAAATAAATAAATAAATAAATTAGGCCAAGTTAGTTAAGAATGTTATTCAAATCTTCTATCTTGTTAATTTTCTTAATTTGTTCCATCAATTATTAAAAAGAAGATATTGGTAAATCTGAATAGAACTGTGATTTTGTTAAGTTTTCTTACTCTAATTTGTATTTTTTACTTACTCGAATTTGTATCTAATTTAATTGATTTCTCTAAGTTTTTGCTTCACGTATTTAATAGCTACTTATTAGGTAGATAAATGTTTATTATGTTTTGATGAATTAAGTTCTTCATCATTATGAAATGATCTTATTTATGCCTGGCAAAATTGATACCCTTTTCTAATAATAATAATATACCTATTCCAGCTTTCTTTTTATTAGGATTAGCATGGCATACCTTTTTTCTGCTATTGCTCTAAACACATTTGTGTCTGTAGATTTAAGATGAGTTTACTGTAGGCCCCATATACTTGAGTCCCTCCTTTTTATTTAATCTGATAATCTCTGCCTTTTTTTAAAGTTTATTTATTTATTTTTAAGTAATCTCTAC